TTGAAATCATAAGCCATAGTCCTTGGCCATAGGCCAGTCTATATTTGGCCGAATGAAGGTAATTGGGGTAAATAAATATTTTCAGAATCTATAGCCCGTAAGGTTCCCACAATTTTACTATATATGTCATCGATATGCTTCCCAAATGTAAAGCGATGCCCGATAAATATGCCCAGCACTTAAGAGCGTCAACACATGAGAACAATAATGATCACTATGGCCAAAAAACATAACTTTAGATTTAGATGGGTATATGGATAGTATATAAAATGCATATCTTATCAATCTCCTTTATCGCTAATCAATAAATAAACTTGTTTACTTTCATACCAACTTTCCTATTGTTTTCTTTATAAGTTTGTTGTATACGCTTACACTGATTTCTTTATTTTCGTTTCTAAAACCCTATGTTTTTGTTTGCATATTTCTATATACGGCCTTGTAGCGCAGCTGCCCATAGCACTTAGAAGTTTTTAACCCGAAAACGACGCTTCATTGTTTTAGCACTCCAACTGCTTTATAGGTTCCCAATGAAACGAAATGAATAAAAGCACCATATCAATTCAGCTAAATGAGAATAAATGAATAAAAACATCGCATCAATTCTGTTACATGAATATAAATGGTAGAAAAGCACAGTATCAATTTTGTTAAATGAGTATAAATGGAGGAAAAGCACCGTATCAATTCTGTTAAATGGGAACAAATGGTGGATAAGCACTGTATCAATTCTGCTAAAAGAATAAATGGTGGAAAAGCTACATTCCAATAGAAAAGCGATAGAAAAAGCGATTTTTTCTGGGAATTCACTTCACATGGGCGGTCAAGTTTTATTTTATTTTTTATTTTTGCCACGTACGTTTGTATATTCACCATCCTACATCCTATCTTATTGACATTTTGTGGATATGTCAAAAATTTAATATTTTCAAAATGATTATTACCCAATGGCAGTGCCAATTACCCATCTTAAGAAATGCTTAAAATTTCGATCGTCGCTATAGATATTTATGATAACCTTCGAAAAAACTGCTTAGCTGTATTCCTAGGACCTGTACATAAACGAACTATTTAACATCGATTTTTTTCAAATTTTTGAGCTGAAGGATATTGCATATTCGCCATAAAACTAATGTCTGGCTTATGTTCATAAGTTAACATTTCACAAAGCTAAGCTTTGTATTTGTACCAATCAGTTTACTTATTTTCATTCAACTTCATTCCAAATATTCCAATTTTTGTACAAGATTTGAAAAACGTACGCGATTATTAAAAGATGGTCTAAAAATATTTACACGCAAAAACGTCAGTGTCAATCATCCACAAATGTCATATAAGCTGTGAGGACCCAAAGTCGTCCCCCGTTTTGCCCTCACGGGTTCTCCGTCTCTGGTGTTGGGAGAGCGCTAGTTTAAGTTAGAGAGTAAGATAGTTTAGGATAAAGAATAAAAATAGAATAAGAATAGGGTAGGGATAGAATAAGAATAGGGCAGGAATAGAATAAGGCTAGGGCAGGAATAGAATAAGGCTAGGG